GGGAATGCCGGAGTCAGCGCTGAGGCCGGGACTGGTTCCAGGATTGCTCGTCCGGGGATCAGCCTGGGACCGTCCCTGGGATCGGCCCCCTCCTGCCGATTCCCGGGAATTCCAGAGCCGGGAGCGAGTCTGGGATCAGCCCCGGGATCCCTGGAATTCTGCTGGGATCAGCCCTGGAATTGTGGCTGGGATCAGCCCTGGAATTGTGCTGGGATCAGCCCTGGAATTCTGCTGGGATCAGCCCTGGAATTGTGGCTGGGATCAACCCTGGAATTGTGCTGGGATCAGCCCTGGAATTCTGCTGGGATCAGCCCTGGAATTCTGCTGGGATCAGCCCTGGAATTGTGGCTGGGATCAGCCCTGGAATTCTGCTGGGATCAGCCCTGGAATTCTGCTGGGATCAGCCCTGGAATTCTGCTGGGATCAGCCCTGGGCTGTGGCTGCTCCATAGGAAACGAGGCCATGAAGGAAAAAGGGCCGGGACCCCATGGGAATCCCGGGATTTCCTGGACCCCGTGGGAATCCCGGGATTTCCTGGACCCCGTGGGAATCCCGGGATTTCCTGGACCCCGTGGGAATCCCGGGATTTCCAGGGATTTCCCAGCTCCTGGGAACACTTTGGGGGAATCCTGGGGTTTCCCGATTCCAGTAATTTTTATTCTGCTCCCGAAGATGTTTGCAATAAAATCCATCGGTTTAAGGGCAACAGAGTCTGGAGTTTTTGGGAATTCTGTGTTGGAATTCTTGGTGGGAATGTTCAGGAATTTTCAGGAATTCTGGGTGAGAAATTATTGTGAATTTTCAGGAATTCTGGGTGGGACTTGGGAATTCTCAGGCAGGAATTCTCGGGAATTCTGGGTGGGAATTCTCAGGAATTCTTGGTGGGAATTTTTAGGAATTGCGGGGTGGGGGGGATTGTTGGAAATTCCTGGGAATGGTTGGGAATTCTCAGGAATTTGTAGGGGGAGCTTTTGGGAGTTCTGGGCGGGAATTCTCGGTTGGTAATTCTGGGTGGGATTTGGGAATTCCGGGCGGGAATTCTCGGGAATTCTGGGCGGGAATTCTCAGGAATTCTCGGTTGGTAATTCTGGGTGGGATTTGGGAATTCCGGGTGGGAATTCTCGGGAATTCTGGGCAGTGCCACCACTGTCCCCACACCTCCGTGCCTCAGTTTCCCCCAAGCCTTGGGGACATCCCAGGGACAGAGCGGCCGGAATTCCCTTTTCCCCCAATTCCCTTTTTTCCCAATTTCCCCCTTTTTCCCCAATTCCCTTTTTTCCCAATTTCCCCCTTTTTCCCCAATTCCCTTTTTTCCCAATTTCCCCCTTTTTCCCCAATTCCCTTTTTTCCCAATTTCCCCCTTTTTCCCAATCCCGTTTTCCCCAATTTCCCCCATTTTTTCCCCAATTTCCCCTTTCCCCCCCCCCTTCCCGCAGTGGTCTCGCCCCGCCCCGCTCTCTCCCATGGGCGCGGCCGCTCTCATCTCGGCCCGGGGGGGGCGCGGCGCTCACCTGGCGGCGCTCACCTGGCGCAGGGGCGGCGCTCACCTGGCGGGGCGCTCACCTGGCGCAGGTGCGGCGCTCACCTGGCGCGGGCGCTCACCTGGCGCGGCGCTCACCTGGCGCGGGTGCGGCGCTCACCTGGCGCAGGGGCGGCGCTCACCTGGCGCAGGTGCGGCGCTCACCTGGCGCGGGCGCGGCGCTCACCTGGCGCAGGCGCTCACCTGGCGCAGGCGCTCACCTGGCGCAGGTGCGGGCGCGGCGCTCACCTGGCGCAGGTGCGGAGCTCACCTGGCGCAGGCGCGGAGCTCACCTGGCGCAGGCGCGGAGCTCACCTGGCGCAGGTGCGGAGCTCACCTGGCGCAGGTGCGGAGCTCACCTGGCGCAGGTGCGGAGCTCACCTGGCGCAGGCGCGGGTGCGGCGCTCACCTGGCGCGGGCGCGGCGGAAGCGGCGGGGCCATGGCCGCGCTCCCGGGGCCGCCGGTGAGGACCCGACCCTTCCCAATCCCTGATCCCTGATCCCAAATCCTGATCCCAAACCCCAAATCCCAAACCCCAAACCCCAAATCCCCAAAATCCCCAAAACCTCCCCAGCATTTCCTGCGGCGTTCCCAAAAACTTCCCGAATCTTCCGCCAAAATCCCTGGGCTCCTCCCGGAACTCCCGAGATTTCTTTCTTCTCCTTTTGGTATCCCTTTGGAATTCCCGGGATCCCGCCCCGAATTCCTCGATCCTTCCCAAAGTTCCTGGGTCTCTTCCCTAAAAATTTCAGGACCCTTTCCCGAAATTCGGTCCCCAAAATTGCCGGGCCTCTCCTTGATCCACTCCCGGAACTCCCGTGCTCTTCCCGCCCTCCTGGGAGGAGTTTGGGGGATCCCAAATCCTCTGGAATTCCCGGGACCTCTTCCCAAATTTCCCCAAATCCTTCCCACAATTCCCGAAGCCCTTAACCAAAATCCCCGGGACCCCTCCCTAAAATTGCCGCGTCCCTCCCTTTCCTCATTCCGGGGATTCCCGGGATTCCCGGGATTCTCCCTCCCTCTGGAACGACTTTCGGGGCATCGCAAATCCCTTTGGAATTTCCGGGACCCCTCCCAAAATTCCCTCGGGATCCCTTCCCTAAAAACCCCGGACTGCTCCCCACAGTTCCCGGGTCCCTTTTCCTCATTCCCGGAATTCCCAAAGTTTTGGGCGATCCCAAATCCCTTTTTCCCACCTTCCAACCCCAAACCCGTGCTGGAGTTTTCGGGATCTTCCCGGCTCCGTTTTCCCATGGAATTGCCGGGAATCCCTCCCCAAAATCCCGATTTTTTTGGGAATTCCGAACTCCAGGTGGGCGGGGCCATCCCGGCATTTTCCAGTTGGGATTTGAGGAGTTTTCCCAATTTTTTTCCCGATTTTATTTTATTTTATTTTATTTTATTTTATTTTATTTTATTTTATTTTATTTTATTTTATTTTATTTTATTTTAATTTTATTTTATTTTTATTTTTATTTTATTTTATGTTTTTATTCTTCCTTTTCCCAGCCAGTCCTTGAGGCGGGACTGGTACATTCCCAAAACTCCAACCCCGCCCCAAATCCCGGGAAATTTGGGAATTTTGTGTCTCAAATCCCACCAACCACAGGGTTTTTATGGATTTGGCAAACTCTGGGAGTTTTCCTGGGATTCCAGGCTCCTTTTCCTGCTTTTCCAGAGGCAAATTCCTCATTCCCAGCATTTTAAGGAGCAGTTTGGGATTTCTGGGAATTCCCAAAATTCCCCACTCATGAAGTTTTGGGATTCCCGATTCCAGAATTTTTGGGATTCCCTCCCCATCCTTCCAAGCTTTTTGCAAAAAACCCTTTAGCATTATGGAAAAACCTTGGAAAAATTGGAAAACTCCCCTTTGAAATTTGGGGATGGGGTCACCTTGAAATTCTGGGATGGAGTTGGGATTTTGGGATTCCTCATCCCAGGATTTTTGTGATTCCCAAAATTCCCATTCTTGGTGAATTCCCCAAAAATCCCCCCTGGGGCTGGGCTGGGCAATGAAAATTTAGGAATTTTGGGAATTTTCCAGTTCAGGGCAGATTTTTCCCAGCAGGAGCTGAGCATGAGGCGCCCCGCGGAATTCCCAGAATTTCCCAGCCTGGAAGATTCTGGAGGAGGCCCCAAATCCAGCTGGAATCCAGAGGTGAGGCCTGGAATTTTTGGAAAATTCCCCCCCCAAAATCCAAATCTGGTGTCGCTTTTCCTCCTCTTTGTCCTTCCTGATCCCAGTGGAGAAATCTGGGAAGGGTGGGATTAATCCCGGATTTTTCCCGGGTTTGTTCCCATTTTTATCCCAGATTCTTCCGGGATTTATCCCAAATTTTTTGCCCCAAATGCCGATTTTTGGCCTCGGTTTAACCCTTAGGAGGCCGGGCCGGTGCCCAGTGGAGAAATCTGGGAAGGGTGGGATTAATCCCGGATTTTTCCCGGGTGTGTTCCCATTTTTATCCCAGATTCTTCCGGGATTTATCCCAGATTTTTTGCCCCAAATGCCGATTTTTGGCCTCGGTTTAACCCTTAGGAGGCCGGGCCGGTGCTGAGGCTGCGCCTGCCCCGAGACCCCCCCGGGGAGCCCCGGCCCAAACAGAAGGTGTGGAAAAAGGGAATGGGGGGAAATCTGGGAATTCCGTGGGGGAAATCCTGGGAATTGCAGGGGAAAATGAGAATTCTGGCGGGAAATGTGAGATTTTGGGGGAAAATCTGGGAGTCGGGGGCGGGGGGAGGGAGGGAAAGGGAATTTTTGGGAGGAAAACGGGAAAATTTTGGGGGAAAAATGTGGGGTTTGTGATCGTGCTGGGAATTTTGGGGGGAATTGTGGTGGAAATTCTGGATTTGGGTGGGAAGTGGGAATTTTTTTGGGGAAAAGGGGAATGTTGGGATGATTCTGAGAATTTTTGTGGGGAATTTTTGGGTGAAAATCAGGACT